GGGGGAATCAAGGGGGAGTCGGGGGGGGATGACGTGGCAGGGGGGTCAGGCCTGTCTCTTATACACATCTAGATGTGTATAAGAGACAGATTCGAATTCGAATTCTGCAGACCTTTCCCCCCAAAAAAAAATTCGGGCCGCGGGCGGGGCCGGTTTCGAAGCCGGCGCGGCCTGTTTTTCAATTTTGGGAGACCGGAGGGGCACCAAACTCAATCCCCCCCCCCCCCTTTTTTTTTTTTGGGCGACCCTATTTAATCGGGTGCAGCGCACCGGGTGCGGGGCGCAGTGCGGTGCGCTGCGTGCGCAACTCGTGCGCTGAGGCGCGCACCGTGGTGCGCCGCAAGTATGGGCAGAACCCTTGAACTGTGAGTCGTCTGTGTCTCCAGAGTGTTCTGCCACGACATTGAGTATGTATGGTCGTATGTATGCTTCGATTGTAGCTTTTATATGGTCCGTGGCTGCCCTCCAATGACCTCATTGGTTGATTGATGCAGAGCAAAGTCTGCAGTTCCCATACTTGTAGCTGCTCCCTCTTCCGTATCTGCCGTCGTTAGCGCGTCGTTGTTCACTGCACCCTTTTCCATCCTGTCTGCAGGTTGGGAGAGCGGGGGAGGGAGGATCTATGAGACAGACGCGGGCCGGGGGAATAAGTGAGAGGGGGGGTTGCCACGAGGACAGAGTTAGTCGGAAGGTATGGGACCTGATATTCAATAAGAGGTTTTCGTTGCCACGTACTCTCTGAGTTTCTTCACGGTCTCCACATGATGTCCAGTCTCGCATCCAGTTCACTGAACTTCCTATGGGGATCCTGCCATGTTTGAATGTAGGAGTCGTGGATGGCCTGTTTGACCTGAGGTTCGTTCTTATTGCAGAATTCGTTTGTCATGTTTTTCCACGCTTCCCAGGTGTGGGATCTGATCACCTCCTCCATTGTATGCTGGGCTTGCTGCGGGCCGAACTGATGGTCTTTCCTTTCAAAGGAGCACATTGCATGCCAAGCCGGTATTAGGATGTGCAGCCGTGTGTATGAGAACAGGTTGGCTGCGAAGGGAGACCAGTGGGCTAGCGTGTGTTGATTCTTACTGAGCAAAAGGAGGCCTAGATCCCATGGGATGTGGAATGACGTCGACGAGTGGAACGCGGCGTCCCGCCAGCGCCACAGCTGGGCAACCATCGGACATGCTAGGAGGCAGTGTTCAAGCATGCGTTGCTCTGGCAGGTGGGGACGCTCTTCGGCAGTAAGAGCAAATGGGGGACAACTGGCCTCTCTGTTCCAGGTCTGTTCTTGACACCAACCAGTCCGGTGCGGGGATACATCACTGCAGTGACCGGAGGTTTGTGGGCATAATCTTAGCGTATGTAGACCAGGGCAGGTTGTGCAGCAGGGTCGAGTCCATAGGTGAGTCCCGGGCCCATCGGTCAACTATGATTTGGTTGGTGGGTACTCTGGGCGTGAGGCTCTGTATCCACCTTTCACAGAATAGTCCCAGACATGCATTGGTTTCTCCCCAGGCCACTCCGACTCGTCCGGGTCAGAGGGCAAAGCCGCAATTTGCGTGGAGGGTTCATAGACGAAGAGACCGTCTTTCGGATCCCCCACCACGAGCATCAGGTCGGTCCGGATGTGATCGCAGTCAAGGTCCTCATTGCGTGTGAGCTTGGACATTCTTGCCCCCAGACACTGGGGTTTGTGGGCTTCCAGAGTGCAGGTCCCCGGGTTGCGTTTGTGCACTCTGTATAGTGCTCGTGGCAGGGGTAGGTCAGAATATTTGACCGATGGTTGGCCCTTTCTTTAGGGTCAGTTGCCAAGCCAGCGGCACGGCTTCGCGTAGAATGTGCAGCTTGTCCTCCAGCTTTTTGGAGGCGGGTTGCGGTTTTCCAATCTCCTGTGCGAATGTCCCAGAGACTTCCTTAACCCAGGAAATCCATGGGGAGTTTGTTGTCAACGGGAAGGGATTACCTGCGTCATCCAGGTTACCAAATAAAGTTTGCCTCCATATATCATGTCACCTAGCAGGAGGACATTTTTGTTTCGGTCTCACTTGTCTCCAAAGTTTGATCATGTTCCGCCCACATGGGGTCCCTGGCAATGTCTTGCTTGGTGGCCTGCACCGGTGTGACCACTTGTGTTTGTTGGGGAATGGAAGGGACAGTCCAATGGGCATTTGTCAGCCATTGGAAGGGGTGTATTTGGTTCATGGCTGTTGTCTCTGGTGCCAGATTTTTATCCGTATGCAGGCTAGTGGCGCCCAAGGGATGTCATTACTAGTGAGGAGTCTGATCAATACCTTGACGATGAGGGCCTCACTTTCTCGTTCTGGATCGAGTATGCCGAATCCTCCTTTCATTCTTGATTGTGTCAGTATGTCCCATTTCACCCGGTTCAGGCAGCCTCAGGATTGAACGCTGTTTTTCCACAGATAGGTCGTAAGGGCCTTTCTGAGCCTTGCATATTGTTTTTGGTTCAGGGGCCACACTGCGAGTTTGTACCAGATCGCTGCGAGGATGGCATTATTGATGGCCAGCGCACGTCCCACTAACGAGGTGTGCAGGCCGGGCCAATTGCCTAGTCTGTCCACTGCAAGGTTGACCAAGATGTCTCCATGGTCCGGCGGGTGATGCCCAAAATTCTAATGCTGTGTGTCTTTGCACCCATGAAATAAGTGGCTGCGGTGGCGGCCCTACATCTTGCGGGTGCATCCAACACCCCTCCATTTTTGCGCCCAATTTAACCTTTATATCCGCTGCCAGTGAAAACAGGTGGATGACTTGTGTCAGGGCTTGAAGACTTTGATCATCCGCCCTGATGAGCACAGTGAGATCATCTTTGCATCCTTTCCTTACCTTCTTCCTTTTATCGTGTTGTCCTTTCCCTAATGCAAGCCCTACCTCCTCCCGTGGTATGTGTTCCGTCGTGCTCTCGCAGTTGTCTGTTCTCTGCGCTTTCGTCTCTATTCCCTTCCGTCTCATTCTTCCTCGTTGTCTTGTTCGCAACCCGGGTCCATTCTCTCGATCTCCGTTGACCCTATTCCAGCCTTCTCTCTTCTAGGTCTTTCGCTCATCATGTCTCTTTTCCTTCTGCCTGCTGTCCTCTCTCTTCAAACACTGCTGTCCGGTTCCCCCAGCCATCCGTTTTCGCTCAGCCGCCCACGCGCTGCAC